CTTTTTTTTTTAAATCGTCGAATAAAATATTTCTGTTATCTGGAACATGAATAATATAGCTGCCCAATATTATTCCAGGCATTCCTAGATATCGTGAATAATTTATCAATGGATTATAAAAAGCTCTTTGAGAATGTTTGCTTTACAAGTATTTTGATTTTGCGGTCAGTGAAATGCGGTGTTACAGACGGCGTAACTGCTTTACAGGCTATGTTGGAAAGCGGTCTAGTGATATTTTGAAGATGAGAAGGTTAGGAAATTGAGTGAATGAACGAATGAACGAACGGTTAGGAAATTGTCATGAATTAAAAGGAAGTGTAGAAGATTGTTTTTACGTATTCAACCAATTGTCTGGCTAAACAGGTCTTATATGAGCTTCTCTTCTTTTCAACAAGTGCCCTGCTAGATTTAAATTACCATGCAAACCCTCAACAAAAACATCAGGACTCAGTAAATTATGAAGTAAATGTGAATTTTTCTTTTTTTAAGATACATCTCATGTGCTGTTATCTTGTTACGGTAATTCATCAACTCTATTCTTCTTTCTGCTTCTTCTAGTGCCGTCTCCACTAATGAAGGTTGGCTATAACCATTGCAAATTCTTCTCTATTCCTGCTTTTCTTAAGAGTGTCTGTGTGTTTAACCCGGTCCAGTCGCAAATGTTTTTCAGCCAGGATATTTGTCGTCTACTTTCTGTCTACTGTCGCCTTTTTTCTTCTATTTTACCATTTATAATCAGCTGCAACAACTCGTACTTATCATTTCTAAGTGTGTACCTTAAATATGCTGTCTTTCGCCGTTTAATGGTGGTCAAAAGTTCTCTGTCTCTTTCCATTCTATGCAACACCATTTCGTTAGTAATATGATCGGTCCATGGTATCTTCAAAATTCCCCTAAAAAGTCACATCTCAAAGGCTTCCAGTTTTTTCATTAAGTCAGCATTAACAGTCCAGGCTTCGATACCATAAAGAAGAATAGGATGCATATAACATTTTATCATCCAATATCGGATTTGCAGATTAAATCTTTCTCTCTCTTGTCGTTTCCTCATTGCTGAGGATCGTGATTCCCTACAATGCGGGCTGTCAATTCTCTCCATCTCTTGCGATTTTGGGCTGCTCTCATGGACTCGGAAAACGTCTCTCTAGTGGCTTTCTGTACTTGATCTGACCATCGGATAGGTGAGCGTCCTCGGCCTCTACGTCCTTCTACGTTTCCGCACACAATTAGTCTTTCTAAGTTGTCATTGTCTCTTCTCGTAATGTGACCAAAAAACTTTAAAACATTTGCAAGACACTGAGAGGAGAGTCTGGTCTGGATGTTTAGCTCTTCGAGAATCGACTGATTGGATCTGTGCTCCGTCCACGAGACGCGTAGCATTCGTCTCCAGCACCACATTTCGAATGCGTCAATCCTTTTCCTATCCTCTGATTTTATTGTCCATGTTTCGGCACCGTAACTAAAGATTGAAAAAACGAGTGTCCGTACCAGTCTCATTTTGAGTTTTTTGGACAAAGAGCGGTCCTTCCATATTTTTGACAGTCGACTCATCGCGTTCTTGGCCATTCCTATTCTTCTGCGAATTTCCGTATGGCAGGAGGCTGCATTGCTTAAGGAAGATCCTAGATACGTGAACTCGTCTACTTTCTCGAATTGATTTAGGGCGCCTGTTGTTTGGAGGATATTCGCGTGGTCCACAATCATGATTTTTGTTTTCTGATTATTAATCTTGAGCCCACACTTGTTGCTTTCGGTTTTTACTCTCTTTATCAGTCTCGACATCTCCTCTTCAGATGTTGCTATCAGTGTTGTATCGTCTGCGAATCTTAAGTTTAAGATCTTTTTCCCTGCAATGGAGATGCCGCCTCTCCATCCATCGAGTACGTTCCTCATTATGTATTCTCCATATAAATTTAACAGGTCTGGAGATAGTATGCAGCCTTGTCGTACACCTCTGCTGGTTTTGAAGGTATCAGATTGCTGGTTTTCAATTCTTATTTTAACTGAGTTATCTTCGTATAAGTTTTTAATTAATATTGCCAAATGATCTGGAACTCCCATCTCATGGAGAACTGTCCAGAGAACTTCCCACTTTACACAATCAAATGCCTTTTGGTAGTCTAGAAAACAGATTATTATTGGAATTTTAAATTCGCGGGCCTTTTCTATGAGCTGCCGCATATTAAGGATTTGCTCTCTCGTACCCTTCCCTTTGACAAAGCCTGCTTGTTCTTGGGGAATTTGGTTGTCTAAGTACTGTTGCAAACGGCGTTTAATGATTCTTAGTAATATTTTGCTTGGATGGGAAATCAGTGAGATGGTACGATAATTACTACACTTTGTAGTTGTTCCTTTTTTATGGATTGGTATGCACAATGATGTGCGCCATTCTCTGGGCCACTTTCCGCATCTCCAAATTTTATTACAAAGTTTCCACATTATGTAACATCCTTTGTCTCCCATGTTCTGAAGGAGCTCTCCCGTGATATCATCGCAGCCAGGGGATTTATTCTTCTTGAGGTGAGTTACAGCTTCTTCAATCTCGGACAGCAGAATTTCAGGTTCAGGGTTGTATTCAGTGTTTTCGAGGGCTGAAGTGAGGCCTAGATTTACGTGTTCTTCCCTGTAGAGCTCTGAACAATAGTTTTTCCATGTTTCCAACACTCTGTCGATATCACTTATGATAATACCATGTTTGTCCTCTATTGCATAGTTCTTGGGTTTAAATTCTCTCGCAAGAATTTTCACTTTCCGGAAGAGGTCTTTGGTTTCATTTCAATATCCGTGATTTTCTATTTCTTGGCAGATTTCAGAAATGTATTCTTGTTTGTCTTTTCGGCATCTTCGCTGAATATCTCTGGAGAGAGCTTTATATGTCTGTTGGTCACAGGGGCCAACTTTAAGTTGCTTTCTTTGTTCGATCACTTTCCACGTGTTTCTGCTGATCCATGGTTTAATGCTATTATTTATAGATGGTTGGCGACATTGGTTCACTGTTGTTACGATGGTTTCTTTAATATCTGTCCAGGCTTCATCCACGCTTTGTTCTGACTGATTGTTGAAGAAACGGGGGAGAAGCTTTGCGTATGTTCTTGAAACGCATTCTGTAATCTGCCATCAAGAGCTGGTGATCGCTTCCGCATTCTGCTCCTGGAAATGTTTTTGCGTTGGTAATTGAAGACTTCCATCTCGAACTGATCAGAATAAAGTCTATTTGATTTCTTGTTCTATCTCCAGGTGATTTCCAGGTATAGAGTCTACGCGGATGATATTTGAAATGCGTGTTCATTACAGAAAATTTCCTTTGGTTGCAGAATTCTAGTAGTCGGTCTCCTCGCTCATTCCTATCTCCTAGACCATATGGCCCTACAATCATCTTCATGTGGTCATCTAGATTCGTTCTTCCAAGTTTGGCATTAAAGTCGCCTAGTATCGTCTTTGGTATTTTATCAAGTACACCTTCGAGAGCCATATAAAAGTCTTCTAGTGTTCTTGTTCTGCCGTGGATGTCGGGGCATATATTTGTATGATGTGGAGAATGGATTTTGAGCACTTTAGTCTCAGATGTATAATTCTGTCATTAACTGCATCATATCCATTTACGTAGTTCTGGAATGTGGGTGGTATTATAATTGCAACCCCATTGATGCTCTCTGTTTGGTGGCCTGAGAAATAAATGGTATTGCCAGAGAAGCTTCGGAAATGTTACTAAATTAAATCTTTGGTTACTCAGAAATTTCCTCATCTTAAAAAGGCTGCTCTTGATTGTTATATTCTTGAGCGAATATACACCAGAGTCGTTTTCTCTTTAGACATTCCATAAGAATTTTATGTTTAACTGTGTCAAAAGCTTGCTCATAGTCTATAAACACAACAAAAATAATTTTTTTTTGGTCTCGACATTTTTGGACAAGAGTTGTAAAACTATTCAGAGCTTCCACTGTTCCGAAGCTGTTACGAAAGTCAAACTGTCTATTGCTCATATCCGTTTCGCACTTTCTAAATATCCTTTCATGTATAATCTTGAAAGATGTTTTTAATAAGTTTAACATTAAGCTGATTAATCTATAGTTATTACAGTGTTTGGGATTTTTGGTTTTTGGTAGCGGAACAAAGGTCGATAGCAGCCATTCTGAAGAATCTCACCAGATTTGTATATGTTGTTAAAGAGTATAGTTTTTGCACTTAAATTGTTTTCGTCTAAAAGTTTAATCAGCTCGATATGAACTTCGTCTGGCACAGGGACTCTGCCAGATTTTGAGTTGTTTATAGCATGTTGGACTTCAGAGTTTAATATTATTGGATCTTCCTCGTTATCAATTTGTGTTGGTTCCGTTCTTGTGTCCATGAAAAGATTATCAATATATTGAGCCTACACTTGTTTTATTTCAATAAGGTTATTAATAGGTTTATTGTTTGTGTCAATTAATCAGTTAGGTGTATTTGTGGGTGATTTTCCAGATAATTCTTTCACTGTTTTATGTAAATTATAACGATCAATTGCTTTTTCTGCAATTCTTCCACTTCGATACATGTTTCCATCATCCAATTTTCCTTAGCCTCTTTTATTTTGCTCTTTATTAATGTATGTTTTTCTCTGTACTTATTTGGGTTTTGTTTCTATATTTTCTTCTTAGTTCCATGATTTCCAGTATTTCTTGAGTCATCCAAGGTTTTCTATTTTCTTTTCTAGAGTTTCTTTCTGTGTTTTTATAACAGAATCTTTAATTTTACTCTACATAATGTTCACATTCTCAGTGTTTTTTCATTTCTGATGTTAATTTCTTCATTTCTTGATTGATATAAGTTGAAGCCTCAGCACGGATTTCATTTATCTTGAGTAACTGAGTATTCACCTTAGAACTTTTGGATTTTATTATTTTTTTTACCCGTTTCATTTTCGAGACAAGGATGTCATAGTCTGAGGGGACATACACTCCAGGAAAAGTCTTAACGCTTATTCTTCTTTAAAATGCAAATAAAAAAAACTACAGATATTAGTCTAGAAGTGTATATTTAAGATTGGAAATAAATTAATATATAATATAATATATAGTACCAAAAGTGGTGCAGTAAGTAGGGAAAAAGCCTCAAAATAATTTATTCCCTCTCAGTACAAAGACCTATATTGCGGTTTATTGCTAGTTCGTAACAGTCTTAAAGAGTGTGATCCCATTTCAAACCGATGTCGAGAAGTCCGGCTTCGATATGTTGCGCTATGGGAGCGTCTTCATGCAGATTTTGGTGCTTGTAGTCGGTGAGGAAGTGACAGGTGCCCGGAATGTGAGAGGGAAATCCTTTGGGGAGGCATTTTTGGTCGCGTTCTTCGGTTACAAAACCGCCAGCTCGTATTAAGCGCCTGAAAGGAAGAGTACACAAAAAATTATAACTATATACACACGCACACAGAATATTAGTATTACAAAAATTAATATTACCACTCAAAAAACTTAACCCAATTAAATCTCGTCGAGTATCACTGCGCCGAGCTTTCGACATCTTGTTTGATGTCTTCTTCAGGACTTCCGAGGTCTTAGTCTCCCGATCATCTAGACACTACTATACTAATTACTAATCAATGCATTACGATTTTTTCTTTATGAGAGATCTCCATGTTAAAGGTAACCATTTTCTGTCAACTCTTTATTAAGACAATTTGACCTATTTTTATGGCTTCTCAGATAATTCTTGGTTTATAGAAGCGGATGGGGGCTATGTTTATGGAATTTTCAAAATCAATTTTGTGCTCTGTATAAAGATGGTGCTGACCTAGGGCTGAAATTGAATCGGAATTGCGAACAGAAAGGGAATTTTTATTAATCCTATTTTAGATTCTACGATTGGTTTATCATGTATAAGATCAGGGGCAGTCTGCACAAGAAATTTCATAGACTCCGAGTTGTTTATTTGGAACGTTGTCTTTGATTGATCAGACAAGAGATGAAAGTTTTCGTTGGGGTTAAATATTGTCTTTTTTCCTCTTTATTTAACAATTTTATCGATTTTGTCAGTGACATCTCTAATGTAAGGAAGAAAGCTTTCGTATGATGATGGTTTGGGTCTTTGGGTTGAGACTCAGCAGATATAGACAGCAGAGATAAAACTCTATAACCTCAGTTAAAACTTATCCTGGATTAAAAAGAATTGAACTCAGAAAACAACAACCAAAAATTAATGGAAGAATACTAAAAAACGAAGAAATAAAAAACGAATTAAAAAACTAGTCTGAATGTTAATATGCAAAATACATTAACTGACAACAAACATTAGGAATGTAAATAAAAAGTGGTATACTATAAAAAAACACATTACTGAAACCAGCTCAAGAAAGTTTGATACAACATAGGTTAGAGGCTAAAAAACAGTGGATGACAGAAGAAACACCATTACAGATGGAAGAAAGAAGGAAATATAAAGGAAAAGATCTACAGAAGTATAAAAAAATACAACGAATAATTAAGGAAAAAACAGCTAAGGAAATCTATTTGATGAAACAATGTAAAGAGATAGAAGAGATATCAGAAAACTGGAATACCTAGGCCACGTGATGAGGGGACCAAAATATGCAATTTTAAGACTCACAATATAGGGAAAGATTCAACGAAGAAGATCTATTGGCTGAAGGCAGAACTCATGGTTGATGAATCTACGTGATTGGTATCAATGCAGATCGATTAATTTGTTAAGAGCAGCAAGTTCAAAAATAAAAAACAGCCATTACGATTGCCAACCTTCGTAGGGAGACAGCATTCTAAGAAGAAGAAGGGATATTGACGTATGTGGAAGTAGTAATAATTAACGCGGTTCAATTCGGAAACCTGTTGAGTTTAATATTAGTTCCTGTAATAGTATTAATCTTAACTTATATATGTATTAGATATATGTTTTAAAACGATTGATAGTATGGTTTCACTTACACAAAAGTAGTAGGAGAAATATTAATCTTTAACGGTTCGCTGGTAGATTCAAACTTATTTGCTATGGTGACATTATGCCCAAACATGCAATAACGAGGCATTTTAACACCTACAACGCCAGCCAGTACAGAAGCAGTATGGATACCGATTCGCATCTGAAAAAAAAAGAACCAATGAGCTGACTTATTCTTTATTTACAACATTTTTAACAATATTAAGAGACAAAGACCCTTATATTTTTTGTCTCTATTTTACTGCATATTCGTTTTATTAATTGGTGCATTTTAAAGAGTATTTATTTTTAGATATCAAATAATCTGGACATAAATACTGAGCAAATCTATAATATTAATAATTCTTTTACTTTTATTGGTTCTCCTTGGTGGGTTTGATGCGTTGAGCACACTTCTATCATCTTGAGTGCCATCCAAGCGATTTGTTGAGCATGTGTGTTGGTTTCCTTATGCAATCCTCCAGCTACGCAGTAGGCGTCTCCGATAGTCTCCACCTATAAGTATATTTTACATAATACATGGTTATTGTATGAAAATATGTTTAGAAACTGACACCTTGAGTAAATGTTTTAATAAGTTGAACACATAATAATGAAATGATGATAAATTTGGGCAATAAGGCGGATATTTCATAACTTTGTACTTCCTATGCACTAGGAGAAACTGACAAGTTTCACTTCAATATTTTTCTATCTGTTCATCATTATTATTTTTTTATTTTCCTCCCAATGCTGGATCGGATTTCCTAGTAATATTTTTTCATGTGATTTCTATTTTTAGTCATAATACTATCAATCTTCATCACATGTCCTTCCTAAGCGTTTTGCTCCCGATTTTATTTGGTAGTAATCAAACGGTGATAAATCGGGACTGTAAGGCGGATATTCTAAGACTTTGTACTTTACACGTTCTAGAAGATCTGAAACTGTTTAAGTACTACTTTCAAAATTTTTGATTTGCACATTACCAATACACATAGTATTTGCGGACAACTTAGAAGACCTACAAGTTCTTATGAACAAAATCACGTATTACAGTCAACAATATGGACTCAATATAACTAAAACTACCTTGGCACCATAATAAATGAAGAATGGACCAACAACCAGGAGATTAGAGCACGCATTGGAAAAGTTAGATCCACCTTCAATCGGACGAAGGCCATCTTCAAGAGTCACAACCTCTCTCTTGACACAAAAGTAAGAGTGCTGATATGCTACGTCTTTTCTGTCCTTTTTTATGGTGTTGAATCGTGGCCTTGAACGAAGATATGTGCAGAAAACTTTAAGCATTTGGGATGTGGCTATATCTGAGAATACTTAAGACCCCGTGGACTGACCAAGTCACAAATGAGGAGGTCCGCAGAAGAATAAATAAGAACTGGGAGGTACTGACCACCATCAAATCCCGAAGTTTTTCGGATATATTATGCGAAATGAATCCAGATATGCTCTTCTTCAAGCCATCCTGCAAGGAAAAATATTTGGAAAGCGAGATCCAGGAAAAAAAAGAACATCTTGGTTAAAAAACCTCAGAATCTGGTTCAATACAACATATGCGCAGCTTTTCCACGCTGCTGAGGATAAGATAAAGATTGCCATGATCTAAATAAAGATAAAGATCAAGATAACGATCAAGATAAAGATCAAGATAAAGATCAAGATAAAGATTGACAAAGGCAACATGAAGGCTACGTGAAAATAAGAAAGATGACATACTTAGGGCATATGATGCGCAATGGGAAGTATCAACTAATTAACTAATTTTACAAGGCTAGATAGAAGGCAAAAGATCTTAAGGGCGCAGAAGAACATCGTGATTGAAAAACATCAGACAGTGGGCAGGAATGACTACCATACATCTATTTAGAGCAGCTGTCAACAAAGTTGTATGGACCAACGTTATTGCCAACATATACAGAGGATAGGCATAAAAAGAAGAAGATAACTTCTTTTGTTACTGTTGGGAAACTTCTAAGAACAAACAGTTTTAAGATACATATACACATAATATTAAAAAGAAGAAAAAGTGAAAAAATTAAAGCAACATCGTTTAATAACATACAAGGAATGGTACATTAAAAATATCATGGACATTATTAAAGAAAAAAAAAATGAGACTAAGAAAATTTGAAATGGAAAGCTCAGATTCAAACCAAAACAGGTACAGAAAAAAGTATAGACAAGTCAGTATCGTAATACCATTGATGAAAAAAAAAAAACGAATAGAAAAGTAAAAAATGGTAACACAAAAGAGAAAACCTTTTTTTTTCTGAAAAATGGTTTTGGCAGAGCCAATTAGCCAGACTTGTTTGTATTTACTGTTGAAATCGACTGAATTTTAATTATAATTGATTGCAGATTTAAAGTCAAAATTTTGTTGTTATCAGTTATCAATGAGAGTACTACATATTATACCTAATATTTTTATGGACACATAAATTTTATTTTGATATATTTTTATTTTATTTTTTATTCTTTTATTATCTTCTTTTTTTTTGTTTTGTTGCTTTTTTGTTTCTTTTTCGTTTTTTTTTGTATATTGTGGTATACTTTTTTTGTTTTTTTTTTTAAACCATATTAACAGATTATCCTTATATACAACTTACATGTTTGTAAATGCAATGAAGAATTTCCATATTATTTGAAAATATTAAAAGATTAAGGTTTATTGAAAAACAACACTTAGAATTTATTAATTTCTTATAAAGTTCGTTTATATTATTACTTTGTAAATCACATTTTAATATACTATGTGTTAGATCGCCTATTTTGCCACAAGTACAGTTAGGAGTACTTGATAAGCCGATTCCATGCATGAAAGATGTAGCCGATTAATGGTCTTTATAAAATGTCGATTAGATTCTGTGTAGAACCATCTTCTTGAGGGTATCCTAATGTTACAATGATAAAACAAATGACGGTATTATATTTTGATTTGATACAGAGCAGCAACAAGCCGCATATACGTATTTCGATCTCTTTAGATCTCCTCAGTACGGTATAGTTACTACTCCATATCAAACCAAAATATTTTCCCGTCATTTGTTTTGTTTATTTACTTCATTTGGAGTACCAGAAATCGAATTCACTACCAATATAGGCCATGATGAACGGCATTTGGAGTGTAATTTTTAGACTCCCTTGCCGATGCATTCATCAAGCTGTTTGCTTCGCAAGTCTTAGGGAGCACGGCGGCCTATATTTGAATTCGATTTCGCCAGGTAGAAATCGTATGATTTCTCTTTTTGTACAATGATAAAAGTTTAAGCCAGTTTTACATTCTCTGTAATGTAAATGCCAATTATTTAATTTATAGTAGACAAGTTTTTGTCTACTAATGGTGTCAATATCTGTCGCTGGAATTAAATGTTTGTTTACTTCTTCTCCAAGCATATATGCTGATATGCTGATTTAGCCAAATTATCAACGATCTCATTGCCTTTTATTCCCGAATGACCCTTGATCTATGTAATTATTACATTTAACCTTAATTGTATAGTTCGATAAAGAATTTTTAGTTCAATGTTGTTTATGTGTTTGACTGGTTGAATGTTGGTAAATTAAATCTGTAGACCTCGCTTTTACTGTCACTAAATATAACATAGTTGCTAGTCTGATTCAGTACTACATACTGAAGAGCAAACAATATTGCCATCACTTCTGCTGTGTATATTGAGCATTCACTGGGTAAGCTATAGGTACTGGTGATAGTAATTTTTATTTTTGTGGAACATTTGCATCTTCTGACCCATCAGTAAAAATGTACTGATAATTTGTCCATTTTTATTTAATAATTATATAAAACATATTTAGGAGTAAATGTGAGTTTAAGTAACGTCCTAACCTTTCTAAAAAATAGTGTTTTTGCCATTTCACCGTAGTAGGGCGGAATTTGGCTTTTATAGAGAATATCGTTATATTTTACCGTACTTACATAGCTTTCTACCAAAGGTATAAATTTTTTAGTTCTCCAGTACCCATAGGTAAGAAACGATAGCTCATTAAGAACGTGAAGGTATTTACAATTTAATGTTTGGATATAATTCGGACTGTAAATTTGTCGCTAGGGAATTGACATCGTAAATGCAATGGAGGTTCCACCGCTTCATTTTCCATTATTTGGACTGAAGTAGATTTTAAATAATCTAGGCATAATCTCAGGCATTTATTTTTTTAAACTTTGTTTTCAAGTTTGTTTAGATGTGTATTGGCCGCTAATCCAAATAAATGACAGTTATAGTCGAAAATCGGCTGATCATGTTACGGTAAAACATCAAAGCAATATTTGGGTCTACTCCCCAATTTGTTTTACAGAAAGCTCTTAAAATGTTTATTGAGTTTTCTGATTTTTTACCAATTTGATGAATGTGATCTTTCCATATGAGATCTTTCCACAGAAAACCTTGTTATCTTTAAAAATAAATATAGTATGTTCATATCTGTAAGTGATTACCTTGTATACATCGATTTGACCACAAAAAATATCAAATTTATTGTATAAATTTTGCAGCATATTAATAACCATCATGGGTGTTGCAGTGGAACAAATTGAGGTAAATCCCACAATGTCGCTAAATAGCATAGTGACGTCTTCATGTGTTTTGGCTTCTATTGTCTCTCCTAAAAAATAAAACAAAATAGGTTATATTTCCCACTAGATTTGATTTAAAATTACTTTAGTATAATATCTAAGGCTATAGACCAGGGAAATTAGTAAGATAATTTTTCGACTGTTCTAACAACCATTCAAATTTCGTCATTTTGTGTCATGTGGAACAATTTCACCCAATCATGTCAACATTAGACTGATAATTGCATTCAGTGCAATTTTCAATCCCTATGACAACACGATCGAGTTTGACAACTTCATCCAAATAAATTTCAAAATGTCACGTTTCGGCAATGAGAATGTTAACCAATGTTAACTTAAATTTTAATAATTGTACTTTCACTAACGGTACTTTTAATAAATAAATGTTTCGTTATGTTGAGTTATGATTTTTGTTTCGAATAATTATCCCCCGAATATCCCTAGGACATTGATGAATGCCTCATAATTTCATGACAAATTTCTCAAGCTCGTTGCTTTCGATTGTCATGAAATTATCTCGTCTGTTATCAATGTCCTAGGGATATTACTACTGACAACAGCCCTTTTTGTGACACTTTGATACAGGTATCTAAAAACTGCTTTTGACATTTGGTGAAAGTAATATGTAATAAACAAAATATGCAAAAGATTAAACGTAATTTTTTACTTATAAATAATGTAAGATCGCTATTTGATTTTAAATGCTAAAGGGAAGACTGGTAAATTATATGAAAAAGTGACACAATTTTACTGAAAAAACCATCGAAAATCCCTTAAAATAAGAGCTTTTAAAGTTACTTTTGTCAAATAATTGCTTAATTATTGCTAAAGTAGCTTCAAAGGTCGATTATTTAAAAATTATCAATAATTTGCGTTAAAATTTTGAAAAAGTAAACTAAAAAATATTTACCCAGCCACAAACGCTTTGCGATATCTGGTGGAAATATCAAATGCAATAAACTAACGTTTTTCTCTCGTTCTTTATCTACAGCTCTGTTTCCCTCTTCGATAGAACTCTTAAGTTTGTCCATTCTTCTTCTTAAACCATCCTAAAAAAATTACATCATATATTATGTGGACGATTATATGACAATAAAATTAATAAATAAGAATGCAGTTACTGAACAGAAATGGACATATTACAAGTACTTGGAAAATAAAAAAAGAACATCAAAGAAAAATGCAGGAAAGTACAACAAATTAGCAAATACCAGAGCATTTAGTGGCTACATTTTTCTTCCATGGATCAAAAAGTTACCTTTTTTTTAATACTAGACTAAATCGACATCAAAAAGACTTTCTTGAATATTGCCGTCTTCTTAGACAATTGCTTTAACAAACAATAAATATCAAACAATACAACCAAAAACTGACTGTGTTCTCTATGCCGTAAATATAACCTTAGCTGTACACCGACTCCCAACCAATTGTAGTTTTCATACTGCAGAGTCTTTAAAGCTCTTAAGAAGACTCTACCTAATAGTCAATTTTATTCTTATATCTTATTAACGACACCCAAATTCGGCGGTGGAATGTGACTCAGAATGGGAAGCAAATAGTTCGGTGTTAGTCTAATTGTACCTGAGATTATTCGCATTGTCTGGTTTAATTGAGTGTCAATAATCTTTGTGTGTTTGCTATTGAGCCATACCGGGGAAGCATATTTAGCCACCGAGTATACAAGTCCGAGAGCGGATGATCTGAGTACGGAGGCTGAGGACCCCCATGTAGTGCCGCATAGCTTTTGGACTATATTATTTCTCGTTTTCAGCTTTGCTGTCGTTCTTTGAAGATATTCTTTAAAACTCAATGTTCTGTCCAGAGTCACTCCAAGATATTTTGGTGTTGAGTTATGGGTGAGCAGTCTGTTTTCGAAGTGGATGGAGAGTTTTTTGTTGGCTTGGGCATTATTCAGATGGAAACAGCACACTTCGGTTTTCGTTGCATTAGGCCGTAGCCTCCATTTGCGAAAGTATTCTCCCATAATGGCAAGGTCATCCGCTAATATTGTTTCTGTGATATCCATGTTATTATGTCTTGTTGCAATGGCCCAATCGTCAGCGTAGCCAAATATCTGCGAAGTTGTCCTAGGTAAGTCCGCGATATATAAATTGAACAGTAAGGGTGCCAAAACAGATCCCTGTGGTAGTCCATTGCTGAGCTTCATTTGGAAACTTTTAGGTCAATGATAGGTCAATGAAAGCAACGGATGCTTTTTGTTTTCCTTGAAAACCAGCTTCAATATGTGTTGTTAAGGATAGGATCTGATCTGTACAGCTGCGGTTAGGTCTGAATCCTGCTTGCTCAATAGGTATCAGTTCAAATACGTTTCTACTAATTCTGTTGTAGATTAAGCGTTCCAACAGTTTATAAACACAGCTCAGCAAAGCAATCGGACGGTAGTTTTGAGGCTGATTATTTGCCTTTTCTGGTTTTAATATGGCTATAATGGAGGCCTTTTTTAATGAATGGGGGATTTCTCCTGATTTTAACATATCTGTATAGAAATCAGCCAGCCATTTGCTAGCATATTTACCACAGTGGAGTAAAAATTCTGGATGAATTTTATCGGAGCCGGGTGCCTTTCCAGACTTAATTTCTGATATGGCTGAAATAATTTCTTCTGGAGTAAACTCGTCAGAATATTCAGAAGTAGGCGGACATGCAGACTTTAGTACTGTAAGTTCTTGTTTGACTTTGGTGGTGTGATCACGATCTCTAGGTGCTCTTGAGGTTGCTACAATGTGGGAGGCCACTCTGTTTGGAACTATTGGTACTTTTTCTCTAGTTGGAAGGCTACTATTACCAAGTTTTCTAAGTAAAGACCATGCTTTTCTGCTTGATTTACTAAAGTCTAATTTTTCCACAGTTTCCATCCATTTTTGTCGTCTGGCTGCATCCAATCTGTGCAGTTTATTAAATAAAAACATAGACAGATACATTAGAATTATATGCAACCTCTATTGGAATCAAACAGAGAAGGTGAAAGTTGAAAATGAACTGGCTGAAGATATCCAGATTCGCCGTGGGGTACACCAAGGGTGTATTTTATCAATATTTCCACAACTAAATATACATTGCAACTATTTTGGACTAAAAATAGTTTTTTTTTATTTTAAACTTAAGTGTCTCGGCAACTATGGGCCGTTGACACTGGTACAAAGTTTATTACAAAATATTTATGTTAACATACACATACAATATGTTTATATATAAGTTAGGATACCTACACTAGCAACATCTTAATATAATTGCACTAAGTAGTAAAAGTGAGAGTCTTTGAGGAAACGAATTATGGCACTGTACATGTTTCTAGAACCGAGTAGATCACTTAAATTATTTTGAAAGTGTAGTAGTCTCTTTGAGGTTTGTAGTGGGCACATTCTAGTAATATGGGCTGAAAGGTTAAGGACGCAATATAATGTTCATAGTGAGAATGGCTTTCAGAAGACATCAGATATCAATAAGTAAGACGATTGAGACATATTCTGAGCCTTTTGATAATAAAATGGTCTTTTCTGTTCATTTGAGGCACGGTGATGAAGATAACTGGTAGTTGGATTGCGCGTAGTTTTGTATTTTGCACGTTCCAGTGTGTTTGCCAAGTGCTTAATACGTTGTTCTTGATACTGGCATTTAGGTTTTGGTAAAGTTGTATGTTTTCCATATTTTCTAAGGAGCAGGTCAGTTTTGCTGCATGATCAGCGTTCTATAGGCATGAAAATATAGGCAAATATAGGCAAATATATCAAAAATAACAAGAGCCAAAATAAGAGCCACTTACAAAGTGGTGTGTACAAACTTAAATGTGGCGACTGCCCAAAAACTTACATCGGTCAAACTGGTAGAAACGTTAATAAACGAATAGCAGAACATAAAAGGGCTTTCAATAATAGAAAAACAAATTTTACATACGCATTTCACCTTCTAGATCACAATCATTCTTTTAATGACGAATTTAAAATTCTTCACATTTAAAATAAAGGCCTTAAGCTATCCTTGTTAGAATCTATGGAAATCAACAAATTAAAAAACACAGATATAATTCTGAATGACCAACTTGAGACAAACAGTTCTTCCTTCCTCAACCTATTTCATTAGAGACTATAAAGTGTAAACGCATGCCAAAAATAAATCACTTGAGAAAGGCAATCAGCCGAAACAGTTGTAGTGATAAGAGGTTAAAATAAATTTTGTGGAAGTTTGAAAACAAAGTTTTCAGTGTTTGATTGTAACTACCAAAAAATACTTGTTTGATTTTTTAAAAAGTTGTGTTTTGAAAAGTATTTCCGACTTGAAAGTCCACACACCAATAAAATATTATTTTATAATTAACTAATAATTTTACTATTGACGTACGTTGTTTATTTTGTGTTTTCTATAATAATCTCCCCATACCCAGTTTATATAAAAATAGAAATATCGAAATCAATACTAAAAATTAAACATTTATCGTACTTGTGCCCGAGCTTGCTCTCCCACTAAAATAACATCTCTAGTGGCATCGTGGAGAGGTATGTCGGAGATGAAAAGCCCACTTCCGGTGAGACCCTCCAGTCCGTCGATGAATGGAGAACCAATAAACAGGATTGAATTCGATTCCGGACAAAACACCATCTGACCTTTAAGTTTCAGATCCTGGAACAAAACGATTCGTAAAAAGGGGGAAAATAATTACTTTCAATTTGGTTTTCAGGCGTATTTACTTTAGTACTTACGCCGATAGTCAATTAGCTGAAAGATCTCTTGAGTATTGATAACAATCAATTAAAAAAAAACGAGTAAAAAAAATAAAAATATTTAGACCCAAACTACAATTTTACCAGTATTATAAATTACTTAAAAAAAACATTAATTTGTACTACAAAATTTAATCTTTTTTAAAACTTAACAAAATTTAATTGTAACTGAGGTACGAAAATCATGAAAAAAGATCAACAAATACTAACCTCCGCAGCAAATTCTTCAGATTTCGCAAATTTCTTGATGCTCAGCAGAAATGGAGTGTTGGCTCGTTTAACAATTTCGTCAAATGAGAGAGTAATATTCCTTGGTCTTTGAAATTCAAAATATGTTGCTACTGATGCACCACAAGTTGTCAGAAACTGTCCAAAAAGTCGCATGAAGCCAGTTCCCAATTGGACAAACTCTAGACGATAATCTAAAACATGTTTTAAGTATGAAAAATAATATATATATATATATATATATATATATATATATATTATATATATATATATATATATATATATATATATATATTGTTATGATATGTAAAATCGAGAAAAATATTGGTTTAATTAAAATATTTCAAAGTTCAAAAACATTAAAATAATTCAGATAAGTAGGATAATAACCAACAAACATTTCGAAGAAGGAAAGTTTTTAAATTTTTGGATTACCTGTATTAAACAAAATGTAAGCTATGCATAAATTATTTCTTTGTTATACTTGAGTGACCTGCATAATTTTAAGTGAAATCCAAAGACAATTGAACCGGGTTTTTCCAAATACATTAAAGCAGTGATTAAGGACAATAGAATATATTTTAGAAAGAGGTTTTTGTTAGTTTTTAAGAATTGTAGAAAAATATTATTTGTAAATAAGTTTTAGGAAATTTTATAATTATAGGTAAAAATTTGTTTGTTATCGAAATGAAAAAATGGGAGAATTGTGACGAGCTTTGATTGTCGAAGATAAAAAAAGGTGGGATAGGTATGTAGGAATGAAAGTTTAGCTAGATTTTTGAGAGAAAAAAGATAGGCAGTTGGTTTCCAAGGGTGCAAGGCGAACGGCCGTTGTTCTCGGGTAGTTTCCCAGAGGTAGGAAGCAGTAGCAGTGAAAGTTTGTGAGTTTTCGTGTAGTTAGTGTATCTGACAGAAGCTGATCCATTAAAATATTGTAAGTCATATTTTTCTACTTATATTCCAAGAGTCACTGTTCAGGCCAACGAGAGATTCAGTTTATCGTAAAGAAAAGATATTCCAAGAGTCATTTTTCACTCAGGCCAACGAGAGATTCAGTTTATTGAGAGAAGAAGAAGCTAGCATAATTTGAACGATTCGTGCATTTGAAGGAGATCATTAAGGACGATATACTTGCAATAATTTGTTGTAAGATTGCTGATTACCTAGGGAGCGGCCACGAGTAAATAATATAGTCTACAAATAACAAGGATTTGGACCACTCATCATCAGAGAGAGATAGTTTTGTTTTCTGCAGTTTTTCTTTCATTGATAACACAATTTTTACACTTAATTTAGAAAGGATATAAATATTTTGATTAGGAGATTTAGAATAATATTTGGATTTTGAGATTTCAACTAATATTGTTTGTACCATTAATTTTGAAGGTTCACGTAGGAAGAACAAAATTTTGAGAATCATTATATGAGATTTTGTTTATTGAAAACATTTGAGTGTGAATTATTTCATTATTTTTATTTCAATATATAGTGTTATATCATATGTGTTTTTTTATTATTCCGGTATTCTTTGGACCTTACCTTTCACATGTAGGTAATAGCATAGATATTGAAGCACGAATTTAACCCTGAGATAAGAGAATTAAAAAGTGTGATAGAGTCATAATCATATCATTTAAATAATTTTAATTAATCAATTAATTAATTAGCTAATTAAATGCTTGGCGCACTAAGACTTTAAATATCACAATAATATATATATATATATAATATATATATATATATATATATTATATATATATATATATATATATATATATATTTATATATAAACATATTTACGAAAAACTGACGAATTTTGCTGCTTTTTAAGTGCCCAAACCAATCAAATCGTGCAAATATTGACCGATTAAAAATTGTAGTTCCATAAGAGAGCGATATTTTATTATTTTCTCGAGCAGCGTTTCTCAATGGTGTGACAACCTTCCATAGAGGTATTATTCCGCCAATAAACAAGCATAATTATAATAGTAATTTGCTAGAATCAAGCTGAAGGTGGTTAAATATTTCTTAGATTTCTGGTACATTTAATATTACAACTATTTCTGAGAATCTAGCTGGCTGGCATTAACGGAAACCTTTGTAGCAGATTAAATATAAATTGATTTTTTCACACATTTTTTAAATTTTTTTGTGGATACCATTGGCAATGAACTATTTTTGTTTAAAAATAGTTTTTTATAAAAAATTGAGCACTGCAGTATTGCGTCCTTCTTACTAATAACATATCCTTTCTACTAACAAAACAAAACCTTGGCGAACTCAAAACTATAGGTACCAAGATTTTCCAGTACCTTGGAATTTTATGAAAACAACAGTTTGTTTGATTTCACAGTAAAATTGGAAAAGTCATATCCAGCAGTTAGTTTTTTTCATGTCGAAATGGCCTTAACTTGCTAAAGTACCTAGCAAAACTTGAGTAAAACACTACTCATGTTATTCTTTTTCTTTTACTACGAGCAAATACAAATAAGATGAACAAAATATTAATCGTGACATGAATATGTCTTCACTACAAATTGCATACTATAGACACAAACATTAAGTTTCTCTGGGTCCCATCACATGAATGGGGTAAAGCAGGTAACGAAGCAGCAGACAAAGATGTGAAAAAAGCTATAAACGACAGCAGTGTCATCATTTCATCCCAATCTGTAAGTATGGATCTAAAAAGCTACTTCATATAGCACCTGTTCGAGAACTGGAACAATAAATGGAAATCCACACCATCAAAGCTTCAGGAGACCAAAAATAAGATTGGACCATGGCAACCACTTGAGGCATCCAGACTAAACCAAATAGTTATTTCCCGTTTACGCCTTGGACATACCCAGTTTTCTCATGAACATTTGTTCAAGAAATAAGAATGATCAATCTGTGATAGGTACGGTTTACCGCTTACGGTAAAACATATGCTAGTGGAAAAGTGCAAAAAGTTCAATCGTCACAGAACTAAATATCGTTTATCAAACAATCTTAAAGACATTTTAAATTAAAAAAACATTGTAGATGACTTACTTTTGTTTGTAAGAGATTGTAATTTAATAAGTAAAGTGTAAGTTGCGCTAATAACCTTATTAGGTTGAAGCGGTTTTTTGTAAATAAATAAGCAACAGTTTGTTTGATTTCCTTTTTGTTAAAATAGCTATTTTGTTGTACTGTTCTTTCAGTTAATTTACCAAAAAAACAAAATTCAAAAACCTTTGTATTCAAAAAGAAAAACGAAGTAATGTTGTGTCTGAAGGATACACGCAAAGTAGGTGTTATGTCAATTTTTGCTTTGAGAAGCCAATGCTATGGATGAGGAATGTAGGTGTAAGAGATTAAAGTGTTTTGAGCGTATCCCAGAAAATGCTAGGAACAAAATCATACAGAGTTTTAATCTACTCAACTTAGTTGATGGGCAGAATATATATCTGTGTGGTTTGATAATGACCCTTCCGATCAAAGAACGAAGACCAAAGCAACAAGAACTACAACAAGATGCTCTTTTTGACGATGCTTCCTTCTGGTACCATATAAGAGTTGTAAACAATATAAATGGGCATACTGAAGATGTTAAAATATGTAAAAAGGCATTTATATCCATACATGGAATAGTTCGAAGAAAGTTAACCGTCCTGCAGCAATCATTGAAACTAAAGGAGATGCACCAAAATATCGTAGAAGTAAGCACACTAATCGGCCATATAAGCTCTCTATTGAAGCAAACAGTAAGATAAAACTCATATTGGATCGTTTAGAGATCGTAAAAGTCACTACAGTATGCATGATACGGCTAAGGTATATCTACCAGAAGAACTGAATATTAAAAATATGTTTAATATATTCTGTAAAAAGTTTCCAAATGAGCATGTGCCATATGAAACGTATAAGACCATTTTTTCAACCGAGTTTAACATATCATTTGGATACCTGTAACGAGTCCGTTACTTAAAGAACCATTTACCGTTTTGTCACTGGAATCCTTTAATTTAATTATAAATTAAATTCATTTTTGAAATATTCGTAAACCAATTATTTAAAACTCCAGTAAATTTTATTTTCTAAAGTTGGCATTAAATCCCGCCCTCTGTGTAAGATTCGGAAAGTACATCATCTTGACAGCTGTAGCACCGTCGGAGAGGCACTTGCTCGCTGGATCTGACCGAATAAACATCGATCAAAGTAGAGCGGCTGGGGTGCCATGTTTCCGAATTTGGTTTAAGTTTATTTTTTTTTGTGTGAAGAAGATGTTATTTTAGAAGGAAACCATTTGTTACTTTGTTGTTTTTTTGGTGAATATACTTTAAGTTGGATCACTCTCAGCCGGTAAGATAAATTTATAAATAAATTATATGAAAAAACATGTCAGATCATCCGCCCTTGTTAGTGAAATTCAAATCAATTTTAATCCTTTCTCTATAGATATTTCACACATCTTATATATGTCCCATTTTACTTTATTTCATTAATACCTAAATACATTAAGTATTAGATTTTATAATTATTTCAAATTTTATTTCTTTCCAAGGATGAAAACAAACAATTATCTATTTCAATTCCATACCGTTTAAACCAGCTAATATTTCTTTGTTTTTCTATTCTATAATATATACAGACCATGCCTTCCGTAAAACATTCTATTTAATATATCCTATAATAGCATTGTCATACTATCCCAAGGTCGTTATTTACTGAAACCCATTAACAGTTTTTATTTCAATTTGTTGACCTTTCTTGGTTTTTCCTTACTTTTTGTATGAACAAAAGACTTCTTTTGGAGTAACACAACCGTTCTTTTTAGCCTACTCCAGAAATCCAGTGATAAGTCAGGAAAGAAACCTTTCAGTTTGTTTTATTGGGTTATATTTATTGGGTCAAAGGGGAAGAGAATTTTAAGTTTACGGATTTAAGGAGAATTTGATGGACTTGGTTTAAAAGTACCTCTATATATATAATCCAGGTTTGGAGCAACTTTACCCACCTGCATTAGTTCTTCACCGGATCATCTCCAGGGAAACCTACAGAAACCGACAGGAAGAACTTATTTTTATTTTTTTTATTTCCTATTCAAATATTTTTAATAACTTTCTACATCCTCTTCAAGGTTTAACTTTTGTTTCACTTTAATTTCAATATATATCATTAATAATAATTACATTCACTTTTTCATAAAATATTAATCATTGTAACTTAATTTAATTATTTATTGTCTACCAAGGGATGAGGTTTTAACTCTCCTTTGAATCTCTCTTTGTTAGGTTATCGTGTGCACACGTATCCGGAGAGTTTCATTTCATTTGAAAATTTAAACATTTAATTAACGAAAACTAAATTATTAGTGAGTAGTATATTTTATATTTCTATTCTATATATAATTATTGAGTATAACCTTTGTCAGAATTTAAAATTAAGAGGTATAATAGGGGGGAAATTGTTTTATAATTATATTCAGGGATTTTACTGTAAATATAGATAAGTTAATTGTACATAAGAGGTGGTGGGTCATAGATAAGCATTCAACATAGTCTGTACATAAGTTTTGGTAATTATTAAAGTTGTGGTTAAAAATTTAGTATTTCAATTAGAACCCAACTTTTTATATTTCAGCAATACAAGATATCTCGGAAGAAAACATTTAACTTCCTGGCGCCCAAACATTCAGTAGAGCAACTTTATCTTTCATCTGTTTATTTCTTGGTAGTTTCTAGTCATTAATTCTTATATCTTACGGTCTCTGTAGGGCATGCAAATTGGCCGAATCCCTCTTTGAGTGTCAAGTGGTCATTCTCCTGCATAGTCGCTAGCCAGCATTAATTTTATTATATTTTAAAATTCATATTTACCCTTTATTTATTTCTTTCACATAATTTATTTCTATCTAATCCCTTCCATCTTCTGTTATTCCACATATTAGTTCGTTGGTGTATCAAGATACATTTTAGAGTTTACCCTATTGCTACACTGCACGTTTTTGCTACCCTTTCCTCATTTTTGTTACATTTCCCTACTCTCACATTTCTTATTATATTGGCGACTCAGCCAGATCATTCTTGTTACATTGGCGCCCAACGTGGGGCCTATTCTCAGTTCAGACCGTACATTCTGTAGTATATTTCTCTTTGCAAAATATTCTTTATTATTTCTAATTTGTTCCTGTTACATTGTTTCACCAGAAACAAATACAATTCTTGTTAAATTGGCGACTCAGCCAATTCATTTTTGTTACATACCCTAGATCTGACACATATAGTCAATGAGACGAATATTTCTAGACTTTTAATCTTTTAGAAAGATTAAAAGTCTAGAAGCTGAAAAACTCAATTTATCGCAAACAGAAAATCTGACTCACCGTCCGATTAAACATAGAGAATAAATTACACAAAACGAAAGCAGAACAATTTTCCACGGAAGCAATATGCATCGATTTTGCAAAAAATCTTTCGGTTCCGAATATTAGTACGAGTGACGTCTATTATAAAAGGCAGTTGTCTACATATGCATTCAATATCCATGTTCGGTTTACATCACAAAGCATATTTTACATGTATCCCGAAACAGTTGGAAAAAAGGGAGTGACGATGTCTACTCTTTGCTACATCATTTTGTATATAACTATCTTAACCCTAAAGTTCGTGACTAGAAATATTCTGCGATTCCCGTGGAAAACAAAACAAAAATTACACTACGTTTCATTTTCTACACTATGTACTGCATGTAGAAAAATACTAGATTTGATTAAGGTTACTTTTCCAATTAGAGGCCATTCGTACATGGAGTGTGATAAAAATTAATTAATTAAAAAACACGAGTGGAACTCCCAGAATAATGGCAGGAAGTATTTCGAATGGCTAGAAAGAAACCCTCACATTTTTAAGTAGAAAACGTTAACCAAACGTACTTCAGAACCTGGACAAGATTCTTAAATAGACGTTATAGAGGAACATGTCCATTTCCTTCTAGACCGATTAGGGAAATAAAAATAAAAAAAAATCCAAGGATGATACTTCACTGAGACAGCTACAATGGTGCGTGGGAAACTACTGCTGTTACTGATCCCAAATTTAAAACTAAAATCAAATTAGAAGGCAACCAGTTTTAACTGCCTGATCACTTGTATAAAAGTAAGATACACGTTTTTACCTTTGAAATATTTCTGTAACAGAAAATTTCTTTTAGCGCTTTTACCCATTAGTAAGTTGAAATGGAAGAATCTCCAAGAGCTGAAGATATTTTGTGGCTTAGCGGCTCAAGACTACTTTAACCAGTTGCCATATTTGTAGAAGACAAACTAATGCAATACATTTGAGCTTTCTGATTGTCTATTGCGGTAAGCTAGACAACCTCATCTGTATACGAATTGAGCCTAATTTTTTTTTATTCTAGGATCAATAAAGTACTCAATAAACACCTGAAAAATTTTATCACATCCTATTTTTTCATAAGTAAAACGTTTTCAGTTTTATTTATATAGATTTTAAATTTACTGTTACAATAAAAATATTATGTTTAGTAAGTAGTCTATTAAGTTATTTGACAAAATACCTTTTTGTCCTGTAAAATATGCAATTTTCTACAAAATGATTTATTACTTTGTATGCATTTGTATTTTGGCTATTCACATTTAACTGTCTAATAGGTAACATTTCAATACGTTATTAAAAAAATTGTCACCTTTTATTTTCCCATAATAAACAAACACCAGACAGTCAAAACCTTTAAAACCGTTTTTCTCTAAATTTGTTTTTTTGAAATAGCGCCTTCTTTGCCTGTACCCTTCGTCTATTTTAGTCAACACTTTGAAATCCAAATGCTCCTCTATGTAATTATTCTCTGTCTGTCTCGCATATCTCTATAGTATTTTCTTACCCTCATAATTAATTTTTTTTACATTTTTACATACCTAAAACAAAATGCCATGGAAAAGCTTTGCAGAAAGTGCTCACCCCCATTTGTAGATTGTTGCTTGTGTTATCTGGTGCAGCATTTATATTTGCTTTCGATGACGAAATCAGTTGAATTTTGTACCTAAAAATGTATACCTAATAATAAGGGTAAGAAATATAAATAATAAATGTAATGATAAATATTGTTAATAAGAAATGCCTCTAAGAATCAGCCATTGAATATTATCTAAATTATCTGCGATGGTAATGATCTCATTTTGATTAGGTAACTAATACAAAAACAATTTCTTATTAAACAATCATAACACAGGTCAACAATGAGTTTGATGTTTTAAAATAAACACCTTTTTAGTTTTTTCTATCACCTTCCAATTATTTGCAAATCGAGATCTTATAAAAATTCCTTGATTATGCGAAAAGTTTACATATAAAATTAGAAAAACGGTTTTTAGTGTAAATATATGGCACAAACAGTTGTCCAAAAATATTTTAATAAAATTCTGAATTGTGGCAACACTGTAGGCGGCTGCACCTCTCCCAGTTGTAAATAAACGCATCAAAATCAGTTGTTTGTTTTTAGCAGTTCGAGAAGCTTTATCGCTGTGTTTCAAATTAGTGTTATTTATTTGTTATTCTATTCTTTTTTCAAGCTATGGAAAGGAGAGATTGTGTTAATAATGCAGACTGCTTTTGATATATTTGTGGCAGTTTTGTGGTTGCAAAACAAAGACATAACATAACCTTATTTGTTCGTAATGCGTATCATGCTTATTTTGGAGTGAAAATAGGAGAACAAGACAAATCTCAAGCACCACATATTGTATGTAAAGTTTGTGTAGAAGCTTTAAGAAGTTGGACAAAAAGAAGAAAAAGTCATTTAGTTTTGGAGATTTCATGATGTGGCGTGAGCCACAAAACCATTCTGATGATTGCTGCTTTTGCTCCTGCGATTTAAAGGGATTTAATGGTAAAAATAAAAGAAGTGTTTTATATCAGAATCTAAAATCGGTTATTAGGTCTATTTCTCACGGCCCTGATGTACCCATACCTATGCCACCAAAGGAGTTAGAGAATGTGATATTGTCTGATTCGGAACAGTCTGCATTTGAGTCCACAGATCCCGACGTTACTTTTGAAGCAGAAGAAGAACCACAACTTTTTAATCAAATATAATTAAACGATTTAATAAGAGACTTAAATCTTCCCAAAGATGCCTCAGAACTTCTAGCCTCTAGACTTCATGATAAACATTATCTACAGAAATCAAGAAAAGGACCTTAGTCCATCTTTTACTCAAGAAGATTCTTTAGTATATTGTAACAATATCTCAGACTTGGTTATTAAGCTAGGAGCTGCCTCTTATGAAAAGGAAGAATGGCGACTATTTATTGACTCTAGCAAAAGGAGTCTAAAAGGTGTTTTACTGCACAATGGTAATGCACTGACTTCTGTTCCGGTCGCTTATTCTGTTTACCTTAAAAGAAACATGCGAAAACTTGAAACTTCTTTTAGAAAAAAATAAATACCGAGACCATAACTGGATGCTTTGTGGAGATCTAAAAGTTCTGTCTATGCTACTTGGGCAACAGTCAGGTTATACATATCTTCTTCTTTGGGTGCCGTGTCCATATTCAGACGTTGGCCGTCATCATGCTTACAATTTCCTGAAACCTTTCTCTGTCGGCTGCTGCGCGAAATAATTCTTCTACTGTGAAACCACACCATTGTCTAATATTACGCAGCCATGAAAGTTTCTTTCGACCAATCCATCTCTTTCCTTCCACTTTTCCTTGTATTATAAGGCGAAGTAACTGGTATTTGGGTCCTCTAATTATATGGCCGAAGTATTCTGTTTTTCTCCTCTTTATGATATTTATGAGCAGACGTTCTGAGTTGATCATTTGAAGAACATCTTCATTGGAAGTATGCGAAACCCACGATATCTTTAGGATTCGTCTATAGCACCACATTTCGAATGCTTCTAACTTGTTTAGCATTGTGGTTTTTAACGTCCATGTCTCACAACCATACAATAGGATGGACCACACATAACATTTCAGGACCTTCTTACGAATGTTCATTGACAGGTTTCTGTTGCGTAAAACTGGTTTCCAGGTCATAAAAGCCTTACGTGATATTTCGATCCTGGATATTATCTCTTCATCAGAGTCACAATTTACATTTAACCAGCTGCCAAGGTATTTGAAATGATTTACCCTTTCTATCTCTTCTCCATTAAGAGAAAGCAGACCTTGATCTATATGGATCTTTCCAACTGCCATCCACTTTGTCTTTGAAATGTTGATTTTTAGGCCTCTCCGATAACTTGCTTCACTGACTAAATTTAGTAATGTTTGGAGATCTTGTAAACTTTCTGCAAGAATGGCTGTATCGTCAGCGTATCTAATATTGTTGATTACTTCTCCACCTAGTCTTACTCCCTCTTGTCTGTCATCCAAAGCCTCCCTAAAGATTTCTTCAGAGTATAGATTAAAAAGAGTGGGTGACAAAACACAACCCTGCCGTACTCCACGTTTGATGGGTATTTTTTCAGTGGGACTGTCTCCAATTTGGATAGAGGCTACTTGATTGTAATATAAGTATTTCAGCAGTCTTATATCATAGTGGTCAAGTCCTGCTGCCAGTAGGCAGTCGAAAAGTGTATTGTGTTGGACTCTGTCGAACGCCTTCTCGAAGTCGATGAAACAAGCATAAACATTCTTTCGGAATTCACAACTTTTTTGTAATAAAACGCGCATACAGAATAGTGCCTCTCTAGTTTGATCTAAATCCAAATTGCTTATCACCCATCTTACTTTCGCATAGAAGGAATACTCGGTTTTGTATAATTCGTACGAGTACCTTCAGTGTGTGACTCATCAAACTGATTAGTCTAAAATCGCTGCATTTGGTGGGCCTGCTTTTCTTTGGTAATGTTATAAACAGTGACTCTAACCAATCATCTGGTATTTTTCCTTCGTTGTAAATTTTCTTGAAGAAATTGGTTAAGCAGGCAATGCTTTCCTCATCCAAAAGTTTAAGTAATTCGGCAGGGATTTGATCTGGTCCAGGTGCTTTATTGTTTTTGGCTTGCTGTATTGCCTTTTCGACTTCCGAATTCAGTATATTGGGACCTCTGTCCAACTGGTTGTCATAGGCAGTATTTGGAGCATTTTCCCTAGAAGCATCGTCAAAAAGGTCAGTGATGTACCTCTCCCATTCTTTGCACTGTTGTTCGTGATCACAAATTTTTCCGTCCGCGCTTTTAAGTATGTGAGCATTTTTCTGTTTTCTAATTCCGGCAGTATATTTAAGTTTCTTATGCAGGTTGAAGCTGTCATGCTTTTTTTGGAGGTCTTCTATTTCTTTACATAAATTCTCAAGCCAGGATTCTTTGGCTTGCTTAATTTTTCTTTTTATGCGTTTATTAATTTCACGATATTCGATAATATTTCTATTTTTGTGTTGCCGTCGAACTTCCATCAGATCTAGAATTTCTTGTGTCATCCACTCATTTTTTGCCAACATGGTAGGTGTTTTCAAAGACTCTTGTACGTTCTCTAAAATCGAGTTTTGAATGGCATACCAGCATTCGTTAATGGTTCTGTTTTCGTTTGATATATTTGATATTCTGTGTATTTTACTATTTATTTGCTGTGTTATGTGTTCGCGCGTTTGAGGGTTTTTCAGGGGGTCGAGATATATCTTACAAGGCTTAGTTGGCTTTGTTAATTTCTTCAATTTAATTTGTATTTTGGAGCAGAGTAAATTGTGATTTGAGTTTATGTCAGCGCCGGGGTAAGTTTTTACATCTTTAATATTGTTTCGAAATCGGTGGTTTATTAGGATGTAGTCTATTTGATTCCGTACTAGTCTGCCTTGATGTCCATCTTGAGGGGATTTCCACCTGTAAAGACGCCTTTCTGGAAGTTGAAACCAGGTATTTGTAATGGCGAAGTCATTTTCTTGGCAGAATTCTATTAGCCGTTCACCTCTTTGATTTCTGTCTCCCAAGCCAAACTTTCCGGTGATGCCCTGCGTCATCTTCTGTCCAACTTTAGCGTTGAAGTCACCCATAATTATTATTGCTTCGTGTTTCTTTGTTATTTTTAGCACTTCTTCTATTTGGTGGTAGAATTCTTCAATATTCTGCTCATCTGCGTCAGCAGTGGGAGCATAAACTTGGATGATATTTATATTTACAGGTTTAGCATTCAGCTGTATTAAAATTACTCTGGTAATAGGTTATACATATACCTTGCCTTATTTGTGAATGGGACAGCCGAGCACGAGATAAACATTGGACCCAAAAAGAATGGCCTACAAAGCGTGGATTTCATTTAAACAACTTATCGAAAAGTTCTTGGGAAATAAGAAAATTCCAAACTATGAGAACATTGTCACACAAATGCTACAACATTTTCGTATTCTAGGATGCAATATGAGTTTAAAAGTACATTTTTCTTCGCTCATTTAGACCAATTTTTAGGAAATGTTGGAGCTGTTAGCGAAGAGCAAGGGGAACGTTTCCACCAATATATTAAGCAGATGGAAAGACGTTATCACGGTAAATGGAGCGTATCCATGATGGCAGACTACTGTTGGATGCCATAACATGATAATCCTGACAAAATTTATAGAAAAATTTCTACCAAACGCAGTTTTTGTTTTTGACAAAAGGGAAAAGATTTCACTGTGCATACAGAATATGTAATTTGATTTATTTTGAGAATTACTCTTATTTTTAAAATATAATAAATGTATTTATAAACACATTTAGTGGATCTTCTTTAAAATACGTTTTAAGTTTTAAGCTTTTAATAAGCATTTTTTCATACTTTGATACACACGAACACCACGTGCTTTGGGTTTTTTTATGTTTTTAATTTGCTAAAAGATCTTACGTGATAGAAAAAATTGGTTTGCAAAATTATATAAAATTACTTGTCAAATATAAAACATCTTTCAAAAAGTTTTTTTGTAGACCTGTGACACGCTAAAACTATAAAACTTGAATTGTTAAATCAGTCAAATGAAAACTTGGAAAATACCTAAATTATTACCTAAAATGCCTTTTATCCACACTATTTTGCTCTAGCTCAATTTCGACTTGAGTATTGTAGAGAATCCTTGCGATAGCCTTCAAACTTCCAACAAATAAATAAGCAATCGCTGGTTTTTCCGTTGAGAAATCCAGTTGCAAGTTTTTTTCGTTAATCGCTGTACAAACAAACGCTTCGGTTTCGTGTTCGCTTTCGCGACCGTTTTCTTGGTATTTCAGGACGTCATAGACGCCGTCCAGAGTGGTCAAAAATTCATTGAGGTCACCACCAAGGCAAATGAAAGCACGTTCAGTTCGGCTGTTGAGAGATGCAGCGATTAGTTCTTGACCCAAGTTATCGAAGAATGCATTTATATCTATATCTGGAAGAGAAGAAAAGAATTATTACAGCGATAACATATGCTGCTATAGTTTATTTTTATGAACAAGAGAGTAATTAGCATAATTTTAACTGGTACCTCCGACCACTCCATGGGCGTGCTCAAGATTAATTGAAAAATTACTTTGAATAATTGTAAAAAATAAATGAATTATTTCAGTGTTATAAAGTGTTATGTGTATGTAAACAAAAGTGACCTCTTTTATCACACACTATATTAGAACTGACTGGCCTACATTAAAAAAGGTTTTAAAAAATTCACATTTTTTTTTAATTTTTAAAAATTACAAAAGAGAAAAAGAGTTTTTAAAACCGTCTAAGGTATGTTAAATAGATGAATAAAAATATTAATATAAAACTTACAGCTACTTGTTACAAATCCAAATCAGATTCAGAAGATGAACTTTCAGAACCAAGATTTATAATAACTGGTTCGATCATTTTATCAGTAATATTGTCCAGCTTCCACATTTTTTCCTCTTCTTTAATAGTGTGATTTACTGCCTTTTCCCAGTTTTCAGGTTTTACATTATTTACGGCCTCCAAAAACAACTGTTTAACATTATGAATTTTAAAAGTGGTATTTTTTCTTGAAACTTCACTCTTTATCTGTGCCCATACCAGTTCAATCGGGTTTAATTCACAATGATATGGTGGGGATCTAAGTACTGTCATTCCACGATTTTTGGCAATTTCATCAATTTCGTATTTTTAAAATTTTTCTTTATGAAGGGCACACAACGAATAAAGTTCCTTTCTTATAGATCCGGGATGGTACGTAATATTTTTTGAACTCAGCCAATTCTGCAAGTCTTTTTTTAACCACTTGGTTGTGGGCAGTCCTTCTATAAGTCTGGAGTGATAACTTGCATTATCCATTACTATTACACAGTTCTTAGGAAGAAGATCTATCATTTGTTCAAACCATTCTTGAAAGACATCAGCGTTCATGTCTTCATGGTAGTCACTGGTACGAGTTGATTCAAAAGTTAATAAACCACCTTCAACAAAACCGTCTGAACTGCCAATGTGTACTATTATCAGCATGCGTCCCTTTCCTGATGGTGGGTTTAAACCAGTAGATGTTATTTACAAAAGCGTGCCTTTGACTTGTAACAGTTTCATCCTGCCAAAATTTATTTGGTGTATGACCCTCGTTGATCCATGTTTCATCAAGATAAAATATTTTTCTTTTTTGGTTTCTCATTTCCTTTATGGTTCTTAGAAAATGTCTTCTCCATATGACAATATCGCTTCTTGTCTAAAGAAGAATTCATGCACTTTCCGTCGAAGTCCTTCTTTAAAATGATATTCTATTTAAAATTTTGGTTTCCCTGGAGCATTACGTGGCATTTGAAAACTACCACATTTCTCTTCTTTAATAACTCTGTAAATCGTAGATTTCCCAACACCAAGTGTACTGCTAACTAACTCAACGGTCTCATCAACACTTTCACATAAACGTTTGTCTGTAAATGATTTAAAACAATTAAATATTAATATTTTTTCATTAACTGTTAAAGGACCAATTTTTCGGCGTTTACACGGCACTTCCAAATTTTCCATAACACTAGTATACACAATAAACTGCACCTTGCAACTGAAGTACCTACTTTTAGTGAACTGTTAAGAATTTTGAATACGCCACTTGGACCTTCCTACAAAATAGAAAAACCCACTATCACTTTTCTGTGGAATAAGTTTAAAAGGTAATTATCTAGTCAATTACTGTCGTAGATTCCTGGAATTAAAGAATTAAATGTTTGATTGTTGAAACCACTTCGTGGAATGCACTCATTTCAGATAAAATAAAACGTTTTATTTTATCTAAAGAATTAAACTTTATTTTGCAAATAGGTAGGTACTTATTAAACTTTTATTGGTTATATATAACCAATAAAATAAACATCTTACATTTCTTGCAAATTCATTAGTACCTGTTAACCTCCATCACTCCGACACTGGCAACCTTATTTAGGGATTAGTAACCCTCACAAGTATTGTATTCTATTCTGATCCAACCTTTATACCTGGTGGTCATACTCAATTTAAAATTGTTTTCCTATATACTTCTGTAAAGTTGTTGACAAATATCTGTTTTTCATTGAGTCACCCGTATCAACAGTTTAGGGATTTGCATACATAATTTATTGTTTTATTACTCTCTCATACATAAAAATACACTATAGTAAGCTCAAACCTACCGTTTTCGCATTTGACCATATCATAAAGGTCTTCCAAATACGCGTAGTGAGAACAAGTGGTGACACTTTCTGGTAGAGGATCTCTAAAAAGTATAGAAAAGTGTAAACAACTTTGTTTTTTTTAGTATTCAATAACACTTTCTATAAAGTGTAGCTGCTGTCGTTTAACGAAAAATGGACTAATGTTCAAATCGATGTATAATATCTGATAAGCTTTATAAACAAAAAAACTCAAACGCAATATATAGGATATTTCACTATTAATCTGAGATAATAAAGATATCATGAACCGAGCATGTAACAAACAACAAAGTCATGAGACGAATCAACAAAAGAATGGAAGTATTGGAAATCATCAAGACACGACGGCTGCTATACCTGGGGCATGTTATGCGTAATGAGAGATACAACACACTTCAATTGATTATACAAGGGAAAATCCAGGGCAAGAGAAGTGTAGGAAGAAGAAGAATCTCATGGTTGCGTAACTTGAGGGAACGGTACGGATGCACATCAATTGAACTATTCAGAGCAGCAGCATCTAAGATCATAAAAGCCATGATGATTGTTAACCTCCGTTGCGGAGATGGTACGTGAAGAAGAAGAAGATTATTAATCAGAAATATTTTAACTGTAGATTCTTCAGCTCAAAATATTTAATTTAAAACACAAATAACTTAAATAAATTATGGCTTTTTAATGAGTTATGGGGTAAAAATTTAAAAACTATTTCTACCCAGTACTTTAAAACCATTTGACTTATCCGTGTCATACTTGGCAGGAAGTAAAGATACCATCTTCTTCTTCAAGTACCATCTCCGCGGCGGCGGTCGCGGTACACGTACCACTCCCTGAAGTTGCGCAGCCATGACATTCTACGCCTCTCTATGCTTCCGTTTTCTTGGATCTTTCTCAGCATAATCAGTTGTAGTAAGGTATATTTCTCTCCGCGTGTAATATGTCCGAGATATTCCAATTTTCTTGTTTTAATTGTATTTAAAATTTCTATTTCTTTATTCATCCTTCTCAAAACCTCTTTAAGATTCCATTTCATAAAACAAAGTTGCAAAAACATAGCACCTCGCCAACCTAACTCTTAGTTCCAATTTTAAATCCTTTGTACATAGCACTCTTCTCAATTTGTTGAAATTTGCTCTAGCCTTTTCTATTCTAATTTTGATCTCCTAAATGTAATCATTTGTGGAGTTATTCATTGTTCCCACATATGCCTATTTGTCCATTTGTTCGATGTTCTTCTTCTTCTTCAAGTGCCGTCTTCGTTCCGAAGTTTGGCTATCATCAAAGCTATGCGTATTTTTGATACTGCAGATCTAAACAGTTGGTAATTGGTGCAATGGTACCATTCTCTCAAGTTTTTCAACCATGAATGCCTTCTTCTTCCTATAGATCTCTTTCCCATTATCTTTCCCTGTATAATCAATTGCAGCAACTGGTATTTATCTCCCCTCATAACATGTCCCAAATATTGTAGTTTGCGCTTTTTAACAGTAAGTATCAGCTCTTTCTCTTTCCGCACTCTCCGCAAAACCTCCACATTTGTTACTTTCTCTGTCCAGGGTATTCTTAATATTCTACGATACATCCACAACTCAAATGCTTCTATCTTTTTGGTATCGATCTTTTTCAATGTCCATGTTTCCATCCCGTAGAGGAGAACTGACATAACGTAACATCTCAAAAGGCGAATTTTAAGTTTTAGACTTAGATCTCTTCCGCAGAACACCTTTTTCAATTTAGTAAATGTGGCTCTAGCTTTCTCTATTCTGGTTCTGATTTCTTCAGAGCAATCATTATTTTCGTTGATAACAGTTCCCAGGTAATTATATCTTCTTACACGTTCGATTCTTTGATCATGCACGGTTATGTCAGGGAAGTTTTGTGGTGATTTAGATATTAGCATTATTTTTGTTTTGCTTATGTTAAGTGATAATCCGTGTTCTTCACTGCATTCTACTATTTTGTTAATTAGTATTTCAAGATCTTTCCAAGTTTCTGCGATTAGTACCGTGTCATCGGCATATCTCAAGTTGTTTATTCGGATGCCATTTATCTTAATACCTATATTTTGATCCGAAAGTGCTGTGTTTATAATGTCTTCGGAGTATAGATTGAATAAGGTCGGTGAGAGTATACAACCCTGTCTGACGCCTTTCTTGATCTCGATTTCCTCCGTTGTCTCTTGCTCTATTCGGATATTTGCTTTCTGGTTATAGTAAATCTTAGAGATAATTCTAATGTCCCTTTTATCTAAGTTTTTTTCTACTAGCAGTTTCATTAAGTGATCGTGACGAACTTTATCAAACGCTTTGTTGTAATCAATGAAGCACATATATATATATATATATATATATATATATATATATATATATATATATATATATATCTTGGTTTATATCTAGACATCTTTGGCTATGACGTTAAGTGCAAATAGTGCTTCTCTTGTTCCAAGCCCGTTCCGAAATCCGAATTGAGTATTACTGATATCTGCATCTAGTTTTCTGTTAATTCTTGAGTGGATTACTTTGATGAATACTTTTAATGTATGACCCATTAAGCTTATAGTGCGGTAGTCAGTGCACTGTTTTGCATTTGCCTTTTTTGGTAAGGTTACAAAAGTTGAAAGTAGCCATTCCTTTGGTATTTCTCCTCTTTTGTAGATGCAGTTAAAAAGGTCGAGTAGAATATTCACTGATTCGCCTTCCACAAGCTTAAGAAGTTCTGATGTGAGCCCGTCTAGACCCGGTGATTTACCATTTTTCATTATTTTTATAGCGTATAATAGTTCTTCTTTAGTTATTTCTGGTCCTTCGTCGCCTTGCAAGTTATCTATATTAGGTTCTTGTCTTTCATCGTCGAACAATTCTTCTACATAGTTCTTCCAGGTCCTAAGCTTTTCTTGTAGATCGGCTATTATTTCACCATTTGCGTTGCATAGGAGATTGGGATGTTTTCGTTTTTGTGTACCTGTCAGTTCCTTTATCTTTTTATGTAAGTTAAAAGTGTCATGTTTGAGATGTAGTTCTTCGATTTCCTCGCATTTTCTTGTATAAAAATTTTCCTTTGCAGTTCTTATTTCTTTTCTGATTTGTTTGTTTACTTCATTATATTTTTGGCTGCATTTTCCCTTTAACTATCTTCGCTCTTCCATGAGACCTAAAATTTTTTCTGTTATCCATTCTCGTCCTTTTTTCTGTTTCTCTTTGGTAAGCATTTTCTGGGCAGGTTTTATTATTGCGTCTTTTAAATCTTGCCATTTGTCTTCTACATGCGTGTTCTCTGTCTTTGTAGAAAGCATTCGTAAGTTATCATTGATATGTTGTTTTAAATCTTCTTTAATTGTTGGATCTTGTAAGCGGCTGGTATCTATGTGATCTTGTGTGTGTGTTCGATGTTGGTTTTGTTTATTAGAAGGTTCTAGTTATTTCTTTGAGTTTTCGATATTCTCATAAATTTCGTCTTCTTTACATTCATTGTTAGACCGTACTCTTTTCCATACTTTGCTATTCTGGTCACTAGTCTCTGAAGATCTTTAATATTTTCGGCTAAAGATCACAGTGTCGTTAACGGTGTTCTAGGTGGCCAAGGAACTTTACTACCTCTGCCAATCCAACGATTAGGAAATTGTTAATCTAGATAGCGCTCCATCTTGCTGAACTACAAATCTCTTCTTTCATTACGTGGCAAATCTTCTAGATTGTCGAAAAGTGCAATTTGTAGAAACTGTAGATCCAAGTTATCATTCAAATTTGTTAGTAATTCATTCAAGAACCCAAACTATCTCCAAATATTTCGCATTATATTATATTGATATTAAATTCTTGTTGAAAATGTGACTCTCCAAATAGATGGAAATTTTCAATATCCAAACCATGACTGTTTCTCCAGTAAAATACCATTCTACATGTAAATAGCCTCGTCAGTAAAAATATTTATTATAATAAAATTGCGATTTTAATTTTTTTTATTTATCATTCACAATTTTTTTTTAATAGCGATTAAAATTTTATTTTCGGAATAAATGCAATCCTATGACCAAAAAAAAAAACGACATAATAAATACATTAATTTAAAATAACTGTGCCGCATCACTTGAATAATCGTATTACTCAAGAAGAAGGGAACAAAGTGGAGGATGTGGCACAGTGGACAAAGATGCTGATCTCGGGCATAAAAGATTGAGTGGACACAGACCACAGGCGACTGGATTGTTTTAGAGCCCACCTCCTTAGGTTCGGAAAGGCTGGCACATTTGAATGCATATACTGCGAACATTCGGACACTGTGACACATACGATTGGATGATACGAACGGATGGATAGTAGAAAGAAACAGAATAGTAAGAGCGATAGGTGTGAATTTTGTTACAGTGAGATGATTGGGAGAATGATTAAAATTACAGCAGGTTGGACTAGAGTACACAACTATATCCGTGCAGTTATCAAGAAAAAAGAACAGGAAGAAAGACAGCTGGACTAACGGCAAAGGTACGAAGAAAATATGCTGGAAGTTGAAGGTAGAAAAGTGAGTCAGAATGTCTGAGTTAGACTGTGTGAGTTAGAATGTGTAAGTCAGACTATGAGGACGCAGGAAATGCTCGTCTATGAATGATGCCGTACTAGGAGCGATGAGAGTCTTCCACGCGCTACCTGGAACGAGATTTCTTTAAAAAAAAACCGTCTTTGGGACCAAAAAGAAACGGACACACAAAAAAAGGGATAGGGATCCTGCTGACAGTCTGTGGATGAATGAAGGTAGTGCTTTGGAAGTGATGTTAACCTTACAGCGGCCATTCTGGTTCCGGATCGCTGCATGATAGAGGAGGGCCTGGCGTTAACCAGGTAGTCATTCGGTGTAGAGGGCGACGAGAGGGTGTTTTAAAGTACCTCAGGAACTATCGCTAGGAGTACGAAGAACGAATTCTGCACCAAGGTCAATCAGGCGGCGTCATGGACTGAGATGTCTTCAAAAGACAGGAACATATTGAAGGCCCCTCTTTATAAAGACGAAAAAAGTATGGTGGGGCCGACATATAACAGAGAAAACAAATATTATAATGAGAAAAGAGTTTGTGAACTTTGTGGTAACGTATGGAACTGAAATGTGGATTTTAAATGCTGAAGCAATGAAAAAATAAGATAAAGTAGACATGGACTAGCTTTGAAGGAACGCCAGAATATCAAGGCGCGACAGAATTATCAATAAGGCAATCTTCTTACGGTGCCTTATCCTTAAGGATGTTGGCCATTACATTTGCCCATTTAATCTTATTTGTAGCAGCCCTGAATAGTTCTATAGAGGTCATGTTCGTCCATTGCCGTAGGTTTTTAAGCCAGGAGTTGCGTCTTCTTCCTGGTCCTCTTTTGCTATTGACTTTGCCTTCGATTATAAGTTGGAGCAGTTCATACTTTTGATTTCTTATGATGTGACCAAAATATTGTGTTTTCCGTTCTTTTATTATAAGCATAAGCTCTCTTTCCTTATTCATCCTCCGCAAGACTTCCTCATTTGTCGTATGGCTCATGTAGGATATTCTGAGCACTTTACGGTAACATCAGAGTTCAAATGCTTGGATTCTTTTTTGTGTTGCTTCTGTCATTGTCCACGTTTCAACACCATAGAGCAAGGTGGAGAAAACATAGCACTTAAGTATTCTAGTTCTCAATGAAATGCCCACCTGGCGGTTGCATAGAACTTTTTGCATTTTGTAAAACATTGTACGTGCCTTTTCCAGGCGTATTCTTATCTCTAGTGAGTGGTCCCAAGTTTCATCAAGATTACTTCCAAGGAACGTTGTTCTTGTTACTCTTTCCAGATCTGTTCCGTCGACATTGACCGTCCACCCTTCTGTTTTGGTGCTTGCTGATGACCATCGTTTTTGTCTTCTTTGTATGTAATTTCATTCCAAATTCTCTACAGGCTGTCGTTACTCGGTCCATTAAGCGTTGAAGGGCTTCAGCATTATCTGCCAGTATGACAGTGTCATCAGCATATCGCAGGTTATTTATACATTGCCCGTTTATAATTATACTATCCGAGGTGCCTTCCAAAGCTTTTCTGAAATATCTTCTCAGAGTAAACATTGAACAGCAAAGGTGATAGGACACATCCCTGTCTTACTCCCTTCTCGATATTGATTCTTCCAGATGTTTCGCTTTTTATTCTGATTTTAGCCTTTTGTTCTTGGTAGAGGTTTGAAATGATCCGTAAGTCTTTATCGTCGATATTACATGACCTTAAAATATCTATTAGTTTATCATGTTTCACTAGGTCAAACGCCTTCTGAAAGTCTATAAAACACAAGTATACATCAGAATCGACATCTCTACATCTTTCAACTAGCACACGTATTGAAAAATTGAAAAAAGTGCTTCTCTTGTTCCGAACCCATTCTTAAAACCAAACTGAGTTTGACCAGTGTGTTCGTCTAGTTTATTATATACTCTATTGTGTATTACTCGTAGGAAAAGCTTCAACATATGATTCATCAGGCTAATAGAGCAATAAGATATATATTACATTATACAGACACGTTAACTGATATAATACAATAAAGTAGTCTTAAGTGATAATGACATCTACGGATGAAAGAAAGTAGATGGTCCAGTACAGTATTTAGATGGAATCTGATAGTATGATGTAAAAGAGGAAGACATAGATTGTCCTGGAGTGGAAATATCAGGGAGCCATTGGACTACAGGAATTTGGAGGAAAAAGACACTCAAAACAGGCAAATTTAGCAACTAAGCATGGGAATGTGACGTTAGTTATTTAATTAGCTAATATATCAAATAGCTAAGTATATCAAAACTAAATAGACAAAAATTAAAACATTTTACACCTATTTTTAGTGGTGTTTAACTTTAATGTACAGAGGAAAATGCGAATTATGAAAGAAAGATTTATAAAACAAAAATATTAATGATAAACAAGTTTCAGCAGCCCAAAAAGAGTGAAGTTTATCAGCGGAAAATACAGATTTCGTAGTCAACCACTATAAGATGATACGGGTAATATTATGCAAATAATACTTACAGACAACTATACTTATAACGGTTTGTAGGTCCCTCCTTTATTAACAATGAAGTCAAACCCTGTTGGACAGCTTCATTCTAAAAAGAAACATTTATGTTCAAAAAAGATCAATTATTTATTTATTTTGTTTAACCCTTTCATTATTGGGGGATATATGTGTCCACCGAATTTTAAAAAATGTGCTGGTATCTATTTGTCAGAAAGGCCAATGTAGGATAAACATAGAAACTTGTTGAATCCACTTTGGAGCTACAAAAAGAACTAAAAATGCTTACCGTTGGTGACGTAAGAATAAGTATTGCTTCGTTTAAATGCTTTAAGTTAAGAGTATTGCGGTCTTCGTCGAATTGATCGTCAGTGATTTGAATAGAATTCTGTTTCGTCGTAAAAGTTCGTTTCAGAGCTGCTCCGCCGCCGTTTTGGACCGCCGTCGATCCCGACGAGCGGCGAAATGGGCAGGCCGTCATCTTATCGTAACCCTTGAATGTTATTGTTTGTTACTAGAAGGATTTAAGCTCTGCTGTTATCATTTTTACACCTGTAACAATCAATAAACCATTACTATCAGTTTTATCGAGTGGTAAGTGGCATGTAAACAGTTTGTGTATATAAGACATTAAATACATAAATTCTGATAGGGATTTTTTGAGTAGCTGTATTGACAATGCTTTAATTGAGCGAGATATATAATGCTTTCTTTAAAACGTGTGGAATAAATTGTAAACAATTTAAGAATAGAAATTTAAGGTTGATCTGCATCCCCCAAAAGACAAACTGCACATTCAAAAAGTTTGAAAAAATTTGAGAAAGTATATGTGACAACTAGAAGTGTTTTGACAAATTCCGAGCAAACTTCATGTTTTCATTTTCGAAAAAACTAAAAAAAAAATACTTTTTTCCAAGTATAAAGGGGAAAATCAGACATACAATTTGGTTAATTTTCTTACAGCATAAAGATATAACCCTAAGAAATACTTATGAATTTTTTAAAAATTTTTGAATGTAGTTTTTGTCACAATGGGAAAAATAATATGTTCCGGCTTATAATAAAGCTATCGGTAGGAAATCGGAAAAATTTTAATAACAACATATCGCCGGCCTAATTAGCAAATCACATAAGTCCACTTTTTGTCGAAATTGACATTGTGCTACCATCTGGTAGAGAATAAAAAAATCTTTTAGTTAAAGAATATCCCACAAGTCCAAGAAATCTGCAATGGAGTAAAATTGAAAATAATACTTCACACAAGTCCAACGTTAGTTGTAACAGATAGGAAAATCACATAACTCCTGGTATTTACGCGGTAAACACACGTGCGTGCTAAAGGTCTTGTTAAGTTGTTCAATTTAGGCTGAAAATTGTACATTAAGAACTAATTGTTGTTATTCACCATTTCAAGTAAGTTATTGTGCTAATATTATCAATATTTTATAAAAATTAATCAATAAATTATCTGATAATTCGGCTTAAAAGGTAGCATTGGGACTTATGTGATTTTCTCTTTTTATGTTTGGTCATACAATGTGAATCCCTGATGGACTTGTGTGTTTATATATTATTTTATGATGTCAAATTGAAGTTAGATGTTAATAAAATAATTATACGTTTTTTGCAATAATGTAAGTAATACTTTAATGCATAAAATTAATCTATTTAGCTGAGAATTCAGACACATGAAGATAAAAATTTTCATCTTTTGCCGAAATTAATAAGTATTTTATAAGTAATTCTTTTGTTGGTTGCAGAATGTCAAGCAGAAATCAGAAGATGCTTAGTATGGCTAAAATTCAACACAACAATTCTTTAAATCCCGATTTGAACTTGGAAATACCTGTTAACTCAGAAGAAAATAAAAACTACGAACTACATGTTTTAGAAACAAGCACGTTTCAAGAAGAAATAATCGTTCAGACAAATGAAAACAAGTGCTGTTGCTATTGACATTAACACGGAAATCGTACTGGAAGAAAATTGAATGAATTTGAAAGAACATTACTGCATAGTGCAGTAACTAATTATGAGACAATAAATAATACGGATGGAGAGATCATTCGAGAACAGAACTTGATCGAATTTTTGTCAGAAACTAATGATACAACAGAAGAGATTTTGCATGAAGAAGAGACCGCCGAACCAATTGTCAAAAAAAAGACGCAAATGCAGACATGTTGACAAAAATGATTGGAAACGAGAGGAGAATAAAAGGAAGAGAGAGTTGGGCTCCGAATTTTTTGGGAAGAAGAAAGAAGGTAATAAATGGACATATGACTTGAAGAGACCCAGAAAGTCCTTGGCAGAGACATGTAATTGCAAGTTTGACCCAAACACTTCCAAGTTAAAATGTCGTGCCTTTTCTGAAGAGCACCGTAATAACATTTTTGATTCATTTTGGAAAAAAACTTGGGATGAAAAGAAGTTAACCGTTAATCTACTAACCCAACGAGTAAACACTTCCAGGGCTAGAAATAGAAAGAATGAGGAGACATCTCAAAGAGCATGTTCTTATAATTATTATCTTAAAAGAATGGATTAAAATTAAGAGTTTGCAAAAAACTATTTTCAAACACATTAGGCTTGAAACCTTGGACAATACATAATTGGTTAAAAGCTTACCACATAAGTACAGAAAATAATGAGGATATCAAAAAAACAATTAATGAAAACACGACAGGATTGGAAAAAACAAGAAAATGCGACACACTTGCAAGATTTTTTTAAATCGCTTGCAAAAGTTGAATCCCATTATTGCAAAAGTTCATCCTCAAAACAGTATCTTGAACCAATTTGGAAATCTAAATCAGAATTGTACACATTGTATAAAGAAACATGGTGTTCTAAATTTAATGAATCTCCAATGTCAATAGCTTACTTTTGTCATATGTTTGAAGATTTGAATCTTAGTCTGTTTAAACCAAAAAAAGACGAGTGCGACGTCTGCATTTCATTTAAAAGTAAAAACATTACCGAAGAAGAGTATCACCAATACATACAAAAGAAAGATGAAGCGAGGCATGAGAAGGAATTGGATAAGCAATCTAATAATAGCGTCTTTACGATGGACTTGCAGTCGGTGCTTCTATGCCCTAAATCAAATGCTGGTTCACTTTACTTTAAAACCAAACTTATTGTGCATAATTTTACCGTGTATGATTTGAAGACGAAAGCTGGTTACTGTAACATCTGGCATGAAGGCGAGGGAAGATTAAGTGCACAATCATTTGCTTCTATAATTAGCATTTTTATAATAAATCACCTTGCAGAAACAGAAAATAATGGTGAAGACGACAATAACTGCTTAATTTTTTGGAGCGACGGATGTGGCTGCCAAAATAGGAATGCAACCATTGCAAATGCCTTACTTAATTTAGCTGTACTTAGGAAAATTACAATAATTCAGAAGTACCACGAACGAGGTCATACTCAAATGGAATGCGATTCTATGCATTCCGTTATTGAGCGCAAGTTACGAAATAGAAACATAAATGTACCGGCAGATTATGTTGATGTTTGTAGAACAGCTAGACTACATCCCAAGAATTACAACGTAGAGTACCTTACAAACAGCTTTTTCAAAAATTTTGATCAGGTACATTTTGTCAATTCAATTAGACCTGGGCGCAAAGCTGGAGACCCAAGGGTTAATGATGTCCGGGCTTATAGGTACAATTCAAACGGTACCATAGATTTCAAACTGCGACATGTTGCCGACTGGAAAGCTCTTCCATCAAGATATAACAAAGTTAAAGCTACAGAACTGCAAGAACTTCCTCGTCTATATAGCGCTCCTTTAAAAATCAAAAGAGAGAAATTCGACCACTTAATGTCTTTAAAAAATATTTTACCCAAAGACTAACCACCATTTTTACGATCAGTTGCCACATGAATAATACGAAAATAAATATTAAGTACACGAAATTTTAATTTGTTCAAAAAATCTTTTTTAAGTAAAAAAGTTATCAATAAAATGTAATAATTGTTTAAACTATGTATTTTTATTAAGTCACACAAGTCCAACAAAAATAAGAATAAGCGCAGAAAAATCAATAAGTCCATTTATATAATTATCATTAACTGATATCATGTTTTAGACAAATATATACTAATATCTAACCTGTAGTAGATTTATCATCGATATTTAGAACAGAAACTTACAGTATTTTTTAATTTAATTAATTTAATGTGTCTCCTGAAAAGTTTTGCTTTTGTGACTTATGTGATTTGCTAATTAGGCTGACGATATGTAAAACTGTAAAAGTAGAAAATTTTTGCGATAAAACGTTGAGTATTTTCCCTAAACATATGAAAAATCTCGTTAAACAAGAATTATCTTAAACTGCCTCCATCAAATTGTATCATAGAGAGATGGCTCCATCTGAAATGTGATTAATATTTATCATCGATAGATTGCGTTACTTTCAGCCTCGAAACGCTTCAAACGAATCTTCAAACTAACGGGGTGCCATATCAATTATTTTGTACAACTTCTTAAGGTGCTTTTTCCAGTACTGAAGGTTGGCTAAAACTAAAGCAAATTGCTCTCTATCTTGAGCTGTTCTTAGTTTCGAATGTGTGTCCATGCCTGTCCAGTCTCTTGCTTTCTTCAACCAGGAGCATTTTCTTGTTCCCGGATCTCTTCTTCCTTCCACTTTCCTTTCCATTATAAGTCGTAAAAAGTTGTATTTTTCTCCTCTGTAGATATGTCTTTGATAACTCGTTTTTATGTTTTTTTACAATATTTAGGAGTTCTCTCTCATTACCCATGCTTGTTAGTACCTCGTGGTTGGTCACGTGCTCTGTCCAAGAGATCTTCAGCATCCTTCGAAAAACCCACATCTCAAAATCTTCTATACGCTTCATACTTGTAATTCCGAAAGTCCACGTTTTCATTTCTTATAGCAATATGGAATAAGATAAGAGTTTATTAGGATTTTATTCATTCGTTGAAATGCGGACCTAACATATTCTATACGAGCATATCTTAAAATAATCCTAAATATCGATTTAGGTACCTTAGCACCTAAAAATATCGATTTAAGCCATTCCTCCGGGATGTTGCCTTCTACATATATGTGGTTGAGAATTCGGTTAGTTTCTATATATTATCGTGATCTAAAGCTTTTAACAGTTCAACTGGAATTTGATCAGGATGCGGTGTTTTCCTTGTTTTGTATTCTGTAGGGCATGCTTTACTTCTGAGGGTAAAATTTGTAGGTATTGTTCTTCTTCACCTACATCTTGTTCATTTTCCCTCTCGTCATGGAACAGATGAATTATATATTGTTCCCATACTTCCTTTATTTTGCTCTCTTCAGTAAGCATTTCTCCAGTATTATCTCTTGTTATGAGTGTTCTTCTTTGTCTGGTGTTGCCTGTAAGTTCTTTCATTTTTTTATGTGAGTTTGAGGCGTCATGTTTGTTGCTGAGTTCTTCCAGTTCCTGGCATTCCTTGTTTATCTATTCCTCCTTAGCCTTTCTAATTTCATATTTGATTTTATTCTTGATGGTTTTATATTTATTTCCATCTTTATTTTTGTATT